TCTTAGGCAGAAGCTCTTCCCTGTGAGGGTGCTGAGGCGCTGGCACAGGGTGCCCAGAGAAGCTGTGGCTGCCCCATCCCTGGCAGTGTTCAAGGCCAGGTTGGACACAGGGGCTCAGAACACCCTGCTCTAGTGGAAGGGGTCCCTGCCCCTGGCAGGGGTTGTAGTTGGATGAGCTTTAAGCTCCATTCCAACCCAACCCAGTCTGGGATTCTATGATCTCCAAGACCAGCTTTAGTCACAGAAGTCACCATGAAGACTTCTAAAAACTGGAACAGCTGAAGAGCACCCACAGAATAGGAGGAGAAGCTCAAGTTTAATTTGCACATAGTCTGGTGACATCCATAATATGTCGGTGGTGAGACATGAGTCATTACCTTGTGCTGACACAGGCGCTACAGACATCACCTCCAACTGGACAACCCTCAAATCCCCAAGGACAGGGAAGTTCAAGGAGAAAGCTGCAAAGGTAGCAGAGCACCAGCCAATCCCTTATGCTTGCATGCCCACATGGCAGTGATAAATTGAACCCTGGTGCCAGGCAATGCAATGTGTAAGAGATGAACTGCTGCTTCAGAGTTGGGCATTTCTGCCTGTTTTTTTCAATATGGGATGGAAACATTTGATGGAAATCAAATTACCTGCACTGAGATTTGTCATTAAAATCATGCACTGCATATGGGTACACCTGTGCTGCAGGCTGGGTACCCCATGGCCAGCAACATGGGCTCGTCCCTAGTCTCACAACACAAATTTGATGTGTTTGATATCAGACAACCAGAGTTTAGGGACGTAGTTGAGGACTAAAGGCAGAACAAGGTCCATCTCAGCTTCTGCTGTTCAGATCAACTCAGGAGACAGTGGTTATCATGAGGATGTTAAGCATAACCCAGCTGCATTTGGGAAAAGTACCAGTGATGCTCAACTGCTGCATCCCCTGAAGCCTCAACTGCCTTCAGCATTTCAATTATCCCAAAGTGCTGCATATGTTCCCTAAAGCCTTGAGGATTATTCTGGATTAACTGTATAAATTATCCATCCCAGGGAATAGACAGCTTATTGCTTTATTTAAGGGAAGGGAGTCAAAAGGGGAGTAGGAACTAGATGATCTTAAGGTGTTTTCCAACCCTAACTATTCTATGATTTTATAAGTGTTAATATTCAGCCCTTCTCCCATTGAAGGAAGAGGACATAGGTCATCTTTCCTGTTGGACAACCCATTGGGATTTCACTCTTTTAACCTCTTCAGCGCTCCATTGTTCCCTCTTCACTAAGCAATAGGTGAGGTTGGTTGCTCAGGGCACAAATACACCCCTCAGACGAAATGGCAGCAGCTCTGCTGGAGCCTGGATCCACATCTCACCTCCACTTCCTCCCTACCCCAGTATCTTCCACAAGAGCCACCACAGGTGCTCCTCCTACACACACAGGGAGAGGACAGGCAGACAGGATACAGCAAATAAACCCTAGAACTCTGGAGGTAAAGCCAAGCAAGGCTACAACAAGCCTGAGATATCTCAGTTTAACACCCAATACCCATGAGGGCTACACTCCAGATAGGGCTACCACAACCACTGGACACCAAGCATTATGCCATCTGCAAACTGTTCTTTCATCCAAAGGAGAATTCCCTTAGGTAGGACCAGAATTCGTGGGCAATGAGAATCTATGCCAGTGCTGGGGATGGTTTGCTACTAACCCTTAAGGTCCCCAGTCTTCAAAGCTGTTAAGTGGGTGAGCTCCTCCAGCATTCACCACCACCAAGTGAGTGACCAACCAACCTTTCCAGCACTACCAGTCTGCACCCGTGATGGAATTAAAACAGCACAGAGGTGCTAAAGAACAAGGACATCATGTGGCTTGCACCCAGGAAGCCTTCAACCCAAGCAGGAATGATTACTGAAGAGCCAAAGATCAGAGCATGGCAGGTCAAGCAACAACCAAGTGTAATTCAAGCAGTGATGACCAACTCATGACATTTAGTCAAGTCTAAGCTGTGTCTGCTCTCCACCTCACATAGCTTGCATCAAGGCAAACTCCAGAATGTCGACATTTGCTCTGTAGTTAAAACTAGAGCAAAATATCTGCGCAGAGACAAGGCACAGTCAAAGATGACAGCCTAAGAAAGTTGGGTCTGGTCAGCCTGGAGAAGAGAAGCTGTGTGGAGATCTCAGAACAGCTTCCAGTGTCTCAAGGGGGCTACAAGGATGCTGGAGGGGGACTCTTCATCAGGGACTGCAGCGATAAGACAAGGGCTGATGGGTTTCAGGGTTCCCCTGAAACAGGGGGAGTTTAGGTCGTATGCAAGAAAATTTCTTCCCTGTGAGGGTGCTGAGGCGCTGGCACAGGGTGCCCAGAGAAGCTGTGGCTGCCCCATCCCTGGCAGTGCTCAAGGCCAGGTTGGACGGGGCTTGCAGCACCCTGCTCTAGTGGAAGGTGCCCCTGCCCATGACAGGGGTTGGAACTGGATGCGCTGTAAGGTCCTTTCCAACCCAAAACAGTCTATGATTCTATAACACCAACTGCTACAGCTCCGGGAAGCACTACTACAGGTCACTGTGTCATTAACAGAGGTATCCTTGATCCACAAGCCTCAATGTTGTGGTCATGAGCACATGGTATCTAAGAACAACCCCAACCCTGCAGGTTTTACCCAGTAAATGCTTACAACACCCCCCACTCAATATAAAACATGCAGTTATTCTCCTCCTCTTTCAGGAGCAACAATATTCCCTAACACTCAGTTTTGACCCCCAAAAAGGGATGTTTCCAAACACACAGATGATCCAGCAGCTGGAAAACATGCAGTAGAAACAGGGTAACTGGATCATCAAGCTCTCAGAACCTCTTTATTTCCAGAACTATGATGGTTTATAAGTTATTTTGATAAAGCCAGAGCTGTCAACTGGGATTATTATTTCTCTTTGCAACCCACAAGTTTATGGCAAGCCTGCACAGGACAAGTGGCCAAGTGACCCTGGTTTAGCTTTGTTAGCCCATGGGCTAGAGAGCAAAACAAAAGCCACACTCCACACACAAAAGCAGGTTTTAAAATCCTCCTTTTTAAAAGACTGTCGATGATTTCCTTCTTCTCCCGTTTCAGAGAAGAATATGAGCTATTACTATAAGCAACAGTAAGTCACAACAAGCAGTTTTTGCTCCCTGAACACATATTTATATAGAAAAGTCCCTATCACTACCCTAATCTCATGAAGCACTCTGGCTACAAGCTGGGTTTCTGTGGGAGACATTACCAGCTAAAACCTCTAAAACCTTTTATTGAGAATATGGTTACATCACCACAGCCTTTTAACAAATGAGGGGAGGGATTAAGGTTTTACATTGCCCAACAAAGTGCCTTGCTCTTGGCTAATGCACTCAGAAGAGGAAGGAAAAATAAAGTGGTGAAGGGAGAAAAATAAAGATATGGAGGAACTGGGGGGCTTTAAACAGCAAAACCTGCATTCAGCTTCAGTTTAGGAGGGTGATGCTGCTTTAGAGAGCTGGGGGAGGCTTAGGGCATCGTGAGAGCTGGGGCAGGGCGCCAGCAGGAAACAGATGTATTAAATCTTCAGCCTCAGTACATGAACCCTGGCAGAGAAAGCAAATAATCACCAGCACAGCAGTGGGCAGGATCCCCTGCAAGTGAGCAAATGTGCAATGGCCCCATAACAACCAAACAACTACAAGAGGTTGTATTGATCATTTCTTTGAAATAAAATGTTGGTATCTTTAAGAGGAAATCTAATCAGGTGCTTTGTTCTTTAATGAGAAAAGCAATCATGTTATGACAGACGCTGTAAATCCCCTGCCAGTTTTCCCCCCTCACAAAGAACTGTAATAGTTTCCTATGTTATTCTTTGTCCAAACAGAGCAAACCAATTGCTCATATAAAGGAAACTCTGTCCATACACAGAATAAACTGGTAAAACAAAGTCCTCTTAATCTCCCCTTACCTATTTAGACAAGCCCTGCATAAACTCCAACCTGGTTTAAGGTTGCAACCTCTTTAGCTGCAGCCAGAGAGTCCAAGCTCAAGTGACTGGAGATCAGATTGATCCTTGTTCAGCCCTGGCTGCAATCTCAAGCCTCACTCAGGAAAGAGGCACAAAATAAACCACCTCTACAAAGCCTGGTTATAGTTTTGCTTATTTGGTTGTTGGGCTCTGTTCTTTGCCAAAGGGCTGCAGAAGTGCAGGTCTCTGCTGAAGAACGGGTTCTGAAAATTACAGACTTGGATGACGAGATCAGATTACAGGGAAAATTCAGTGCAGGTTTATAAAGCTGGTTCCCAAGGGACAGACCTAACGGGAGAACTGCTTAAACATCCCCAAAAGAGAACATTTACCCACCTTTTCTTGCAAGAAACACACCCTAATGCCTCCTTGACCCCAGGAGCATGCATTGACACCCAAGGGACAGCAGGGAAGCCAAGCAGTGGGGTTGGTTGCAGTCTGAGGGCAACACTTACTGGCTTCACCGTGCTGTTACTGATTAAACAAGTGACGGCAACAGGCTATCAGCCCCATCTCACATGTAGAGCAAACTTCCCAAGGGAGAAGTTTGTCCATGAGCAATACACTGCCCCATATACCTCAAACAGCAAGAGGGACAGGCAGTGCTGAGCTGGACCATCTTCCTATGGGCAAGAAGGAGAAAAAGCCAAACTAAAGGAGAATTTGGTTAAAAGTAGTCAGTAGGAAGCTCAGAATTAGTGGAGGAAGATGAGGTAAAGGAGTGGAATTTAAGAGACGATGAGCTAAGAGATAGTTGTGCAAATCTGCTTATGGATGAGCACATGGCCACATTTATATCACCTATCAAGCTGTACCCTGACCCCCCCTGCATGGTTCGATAGCCAGGATGAACTTGAACTCCCACTCATGGGGACCCCCATCCCCATAGACCAAACAGGGATACCCAGCCCCACAGAGCATCAGTTGGGTGCTTTGCCATCCTGCACACCCCCCCCCCCATGGCACCCCACCGCTGTGCCTCACCTTCCGGGTGCTGCCGCTCTTCAGGCCTTGCAGGAGGACGAGGGCATTGTCCCTGTCCCCTTCCCCATCAGGGCTCTCCTCTTCAGGTGGCATCATCTCCAGGAGCACAGCATCCACAGGCTGAATGAGGGGGCTCCTGCCTGGCCTCACTGGGTGGCTCTAGGGCTCAGGGCCCTCTCCTTGCTTAGCCCCACACCCTGCTAACCCCTTGGGGGGGGGGGTTCAGAGCCCAGCCCTATATGTGGGGCTTAAACCCCCACTAGTCCCTCCTCACTTATGCTACAAGTCCCCATACATGTAACAGTTACTTAGATCTAAGCCCACAGCCTGTGCTCCCCCCTTGAGCAAACACCCAGGATGAAGGGGGTAAGCCCCATAAACCCCTCTATAAGGAGAGGTTAAACCCCACAGACTCCCTTGAAAAGCTACCCCAGCTGAAGAAGGGGGGTAAAGGAGGGCAAACCCCACAGACTCCTCTTGCAGTTAACTCAGATGGGGGGGCAAACCCCACAGAATTACTATAGAGGAAAAGAACCTCCACAGACCTCCCCCAAGTTACACAGGTACCCAAATAGGGTGGGGGTAAAAGAAAAGCAAAAGCCTACAGACCCCCTTCCAAAGATACCCCATATGGGAGGCAAAACCCCATAAACCCTCCCTGCAGAACTAAGATAGGGGGGCAAAGCTTATAGACACCCCGCCTTACATATACCCCAAAACGGGGGTGCCCCACAAACGCTCCTCTCCTTCCCCAGATAGGAAGGAAGCCCCTACAGAACCCCCTTATAGAGCTACCCCAGTTATTGAATAGGGGCAAACCCCCACAGAACTCCCTTACAGAGCTGCCCCAGATGGGTAAAGGGGTAAATGCTCTCAGACCCACCACCCCCCCGTGCAGCGTTACCTCAGCCGAGGGGGGGACAAACCCTACAGTCCCCCCCTCACAGAGCTACCCCAGACAGGGGCAAGCACCACAGCCCCACACCCGCCCCCCTTACCGGGTCTAACCCCACACCAGGGCTGCCCTGAGCCCCACCGGCCCCTCTCACCCCTCGGTGCCCCTCACGGCCCCGCCGCTGAGCGCTGCCGACCGGGAGCGAACGCGACGCCGGCCCCGGGGCCGCGAGGGGCATAAGCAGGGTGGTGGGGCGGGGCTAAGAGCAGCTTTAGCCAATGGGAGAGGGGAACGGAGTTGAGTGACGGCTGTGCTGGCCAGTGGAGAGAGAGGAGAGGGGTGGGGGAGCAACGGAGAGGGGAGGGGAGGGGCGGAGGGCCCGTCGCCCGTGGCAACGGTGGGAATTAGAACGCCGGTGACGTCACGGGGGAGGCGGGGCTTCGCGTCGTTTCTCGGGGGGCCCTCCCCACATTTGGGTGCATGACCGCTCCCACCCCATCCACATCTGGATGATCCCACCTCCAGCCGGCATCCCCCCCATCCTGGACACATCTGGATGCCCCCCCTTAATCCCCACTCTCCCCTCTTCGGCTTCTTCCACCCCCTCCGCAACATCTGGGCTGCTGTGGTGGGGGGTGCAATAAGGGAGCACCCACAGGCGCCTCCATTCAGCCTTCTGGCCCAACGCTATGCCCCAGGTGCTCTCCTCTGTGTGGTCCCTTGGCTGCACCATTCCCTCCCCTCCCAAATACCCCCAAACATCTGGATGGGGACACTGCAGCTCGCACAGCTCCTGGAGCAACACCTGGACTGCTGTGCTCTTGCCCTGCTATGGCTATAAGATGCTTCTCTAGTATAAAACACAATATAATACAAAATATAACATAAAAATAAATGATGAAATAAAGTAACTCCCAATTTCTTGCTATTTCAGACAGATATAAGCAAACCCTAATCCCATTTTCCCTCCTCTGAGCCATATGGTTGAACCATAGAAGGGTTTTACTCTTAATCGGGATCATAAGAGTCAGACTAAGCAACAGTATTAAATTCAGTAAAATATCATGGAAAAATATCCAGGAGTTGGAAAAACCCCATTCCCAAGGTGCATACAGAGTTGTAACGGATACAGCATCCAGCATGGGGATGCTGAACTGGTTGTCACCTGTGTGTGTCACCACCAAAAGGTCCCTTAAGTCTTTATCAGGACCTAGTTTCATTTCCATAATGAAGTTAATGAGACCACGCTTGTGTGTGATGAATCTTATTCATGTCAACAGGATACAGGGAACTCCGTGCTGTTTAACAAGGGGAAACAAATTAAACCCTTTATATTGAATAAATCTATAGCTGCCTAAATATATGAAACCATTTCCACCTTTTCCAGCCAGCTTTTCCCTGTTGGGGCTTCAATGACTGTGTGATTCCATGGAAGGGAGTGTGTTAGGAAGGATTTTTCTCTCCCTTCTGGATTTCCCAATCCCAAAGGAGCTGCTGGACCAACAGAGTGGAATTACTGATCAATCTGGAATAGCAGCAATGCTTTTCTGGATGAATATTGCAGCGGTTTGCAAAGAAAAGTGCTTTAATTGTGTGACTGCAACTCTCTACATAGCAGAGGATGTGCAGGAAGAGGTATTTATTCCTCTACTAAAGCTAATGAAGGAGCTGCCTTTGGCCCAACTGTGATTGACAGCTCATGGGATATTGTCACCTATACATCCCCCAACAGCTCGCTGTGGTGTCACTGAACCATGCAGAGACCCCATTTGCAGCCTGATTTTCCCCAAGGATGAGGCACATTCCTTCTGTGGTCCATATTTCCCCATTGCAGAGCCCTGCATGGAGCTATCCCACATCCATCTCCCCCATCCTGAAGACCATCTCCAAAGGGAAATGATATAAAACTCAGTTATTAAGAGGTCTAACCCAGGTTGTGCTTGGTTAGGATGTATAACTGGAGCTGGCCTAAGGTTTATCCTATCTTACCCACTCTGCAAACCCCATTGCTTCCCATTATGAACATCCCAAATGGCATGGAGAGCTTGGGATAAACCTGCACCATAAATCCAGATAGGATCCATGGGGGAAAAGGGAAGAAAACGAAACACACACCAGTCCCTGGCTTGGCAGAAAGCGGCCAAGAGGGAGCAAGCCCCAGCATGAAGTAGTCCTCTCCTGCTCCCTACCCCCGGGCTGGCTCCCATCCCTTGACAACTTTTACTCATCCAGCAAGAAAGGTGGCTTGGATGCTTTTTCCTGGGATGGCGCAATGGAGATCAAAGAGGCTTTCCCGGAGCCAGCCCTGCCTCTGGGCTTTTCCGCTCCCGGCCGCAAACTGGGAGCATCATTGGGAAGAACAAGGTGGCATCTTCCCAGGGGAATGCGTGGCCCCGCTACATGCCCTGGTTGGGGACCTCAGCATGGAACAATGCCTTTTTTGCCCTCAAAATGCATCATTTTGGGGGAAGTTTTCATCATTCCCTTCCCTGCTTGCACCAGATTGGGAATGGCTGATGCCAATTGAAGCTCAGCTGCGATGAGTTGCTTGATGGCAAAGTGGGCAGCTGAAAGCAATGGACTCACCTGCATGAATAGGATTGGAGAGGGGTAAGATGGGTGAGTGAGTGCTTGAGGATGAGGGTTGTAAGCACCAGTTTATGGCACCCTGCAGGATTGCATCTCTGCCCCCAAAGTTTGGGCTCAGAACTTCTTTAAACCCAACCATGGGGCTCTAATGGGTAAGAGGCAGCTGAGAAAGGCTGGATTTGGGAGCTAATTTACTAATTGAAGAGGGGTTTATCTCAGGGAAGGTGGTTTTCCTTAAGCTGTTTCAAAGCAAAGCATTTGGCTCAATCCCACACCTGAGTGGTGTAATGCGTTCTCCTCCTAGCAGGTCTCCTTGTTGAGATGTTGGTTAGAGGACTCCCCTCAATTCTACCTTTTGGGCTAAAACTCCATTTCCCAGGGTGCATCTTGAGCTGGGAGCCTCCAATGAGGGCTGAGGGAGTCTTTAAGTAAGCTGCTTGTAGGGGTGCATTACCCTTGGGAGGCAGATGGGGTAAGGTCTTCTATGCTTTGTTGGAGCAATGCCTTCTCCTGAGTGAGTATGGTTCCATCAGCAGCTACAAGTGCCCACAGCTTGGTAAAGGTGGTAAAATATAGAGGGTTTTAATGTGTTTTCTACTCCTTGGGAAGTTTGCAGCATGTCTTGTGGTGCTTTGTAGCTTGCTCTCTCTTTGAGAAGTCCTCTGTCTTCCCCAGTGCTGGGAAACTTTCATGGATAAGGACCAACTTGATGCTGTTTGAGTTTCTTTTGTGCCTTTTGAGGCTTTAAGCTTCTAGGGAAGCAGTGATTTGGGGGGGTTGAATCTGGCTGCTATAGCTGTGAGGATAGGAGAGGTGGTAGTTGCCTGCTTTAGTGGGGGCCTCAGTATCTCATCTTGGCTCTTGTCTTTCAGCTGTGTTTCATTATAGTTCCAGTGTGGTTGCTTTCTGGCTGCAATTAAGGCCTGGATAACACTTGCTGGATACCCTGGGCTGTTCTGAGGGTGCAAATCCACCCCTATTGACCTGGATATGTGAGTCTGGGGGGACTTCCTTTCTATTTTAGCAGCAATTTTGCTTCTACCACCTCCAACAGCAGCTCAGGGGCACAACTTGAGGCTTTTCCATTTGAAGAATGCTGTGGGGAAGGGGATGATACCCAGCAAAATGTGCCCCACAATGCTGGATTCTGGGGGCAAAATAAGGCATTGCTCCATGCTGAGATCCCCAAATCCTTGTTAAAATGATCTTGATCCTATAGTTACAAACTGAGCTGTGGAGTGAGCGTCTGTTGGGGTTTACTTCAGGAGCAGAACTTGGGTTCTACCAGCCATGAGTTGTCTGATGTCATTGCAGTGACCATCCTTGAGATGCTGCTTTAACCCCATAACACATCTTGAAGAGCTGGTGTATGACAGAGCCATGGGGGTCTCAAGGCGCAGTGGGGCAAAGAACAGCAGCAGGTAAGTTCTATGGGGCATGGAAGGGGATTCTGGGGGACATCCAGCATTTTGTTACCATGGCTTTGTTGGGCAGCTCAGCCTTAAAGTGGTCAGAACAGAAATCCCTTTAACTTCCATTTGGGAGCCCATTTTGGTGCTGCTGGACATAAGGTGGCATCACACCATGGTTTATCCTCACCACCAAGGGGTTTGCTGAAGGAATGGCCTGTTTGGCCTCAGTGGGATGCATTTGCCCTTGTCCATAGGAAGCGAAAGGGAGAGTCAGGGAATAAGGAAGGAGAGCTGAAGGCACCCAGGAGAAAAGTGATGAAGAAGGAACCAGGGGAGATACAATGCACAGTGGAGGTACCAGCCACCCCTTTCCATGCTCTGATCCTTGTGTCTGTCTTATTGTTTTGTGGGCATCAAACCCACTGCATGAAGTTCCTTCTCCTCTGTATTATCCTGGTGCACAGCCCTCTGTGGTAAAAGGGAAGAAGAAGAAGTCACCAGAGACCAAGGTGAAGCCGCTGCAGGAAAACATCATCAGCAGGTTCGATGGGGATAGGATGGTGGGAATCAAGGAGGAGGTGGGAGCTGCAGGGATTTGCCTCCTCCATAGTAGGGTTCCCCATCTGGGTTCACCCCAGAGGCATCCATGGGAGTGCAGTGTCCATCTCTGCTCTCCCTGGTCTGCTTTGAGCATCAAAAAGGTGGCTTTTAATAGGGGAAAACCTTGTGTTCTTCTTCTCCTTTTTGGCCAAGAAGCTCTCTAACGCAAGAGGCTGAAGGGAAAGGACTCGGTTTGAGCCTGCAGGATGGGATCCAAGCAGAGGAGGAAGCCGCTCCTGGGTTGGTACGTGGTGATCTCTGTGCCTAAGAATTAAGGAGTGCTCGTGGGTTGCTCTCAAGGGAGCTGTGGGGATGGTGTTGTCTGACTTGTGCATCTGAAAGGGATCCTTTGAGTGTGTTGGACTAAGTTAAACAGTAAAGCTCAACTGCAGGTGGTTTGGGGGTTCAATCAGTCATGTCTTGGAGCTGGAACAAGAGCATGAACTGGCATTAATAGGGAGCACCTGGGTGTCTATATCACTTCCCAAGCACAAGACTCATCCTGATAACATCCCTTTCTGAGGCATTTTGTCTTCACTGCTGCTCCTGGATGATGCTAGGAACACAAATTCCCTCTCCATTATGTTTTGCTGACATTATGTTACACTTATACCCCAAAACCCAGCAGAGATGCTTTTTCTCCTGCCCACGATGAGCCTCTATCCCTCTTGCAAACAGGGTCTGTAACGTCAGCAAACCCTCCTGCATGGATGCTATTAATGCTGCAGCACTGAAACCCCTCAGGGGTGCCTGTGGTCCATGTCCTGGTGTTCCCAGTGCAAGCTCCAGGCATTTGCATGCAGGATGTGTTTTGGAAGACCGTGGCTGTCTGCTCCTGAACTTCCCAACCCGCTTGCTGACAGCACTGAAGGATTGTGAAGTCGAGAGCAGGCGTATTCCCAGGGAACAGAAGGTTATGTTGCTGTAACCAACCTGTAATTAAGTCAGGTTTTTTTCCCCCTTTAATGAGTTTTAACCTAGCAGCTTCTCAGCAGCGGCTTTCAAACAAATCCCTGTGTGGTTTTGGCCTCCCTTGAAAGCCTTCGGAAGAGAAACTTGGGGAAGTTGGGATTTAGAGCGAGAGCCTTGATGTGCTGGGTGAAGCTGGGTTGGGTTTCAGGGTGCTGCATGGTCAGATGCAGAACAACCTGGCTTCGGCTTTGAAAACAAGTGTGCAAACACTTCTGGTTATTCCCTGGGCTCTGTTGGAGTCCCCTCTGAGCTCATTTTCCTCTCGTCCTGTCCCCATTTTTCCTTATATTTTCCTTTTCCCTTCTGCTTTCTCTTCTTTTCCTTGCCCTCTGGTCACCCTTGTTGTATTTCCCACCTTGTGGCTTTGCCCCCATCTCTCCTTCCCTCTTGCCATCTGCTATAAGGGTCATTTAATCTTCCAAGGACCAAGCTGGTGTGGATTCACATAAGCTGCTATTTGATGCATCTTTGGTTTGGAGCCCTCCCATCCCTTCTATAGCAGCAACACATCCAGTGAGCAGGTGTTTGAGGAGCAGTGAGACTTCACATGTATTTGCTCTATAAAACACCTATTCAGTGCTGTTGGAAGTCAGAAGGGGATTCCCTAAGCCTATAAAGCATCGAAGTTCTCTTTGTGCTTGGAAAAACACTTGTAAGAAGGTGTTTTGGGCTGCTGGTTCCTCACCAAGATGGATGAGGAAGGCAGGATGTCAATGGGACACAGCTATTGTTGCCTTGCTGGCTATCACGAGGTGATTGCTTGGGGGTGATGCTGCTGTTGGGGTACTCATGCGAGCTAACCTCTCTCATATCAACACTATTAATACCTTTCAGGAGGAAACTGAATCAACCCTGCACCAAGGGCCATCAGTGGGGCCGGAAGACTCTTCAAGGTAGGCTGGGCCACTTCCTCAATGCTTTTTGGCCAGAGAACTTTAAATTTGTCCTTTCTCTTTTTGCCATGGGGTTGTACATCCCTGTTTTTCCTTCCTGTATCCCTGCTGCTAGCGCCTTTGTTGGGCAGCTTGGCCATGTCCTGGTGTCTTCAATGACTTTAAAGCCTGCCAAAAACCATCACAGGTGGAATTTGGGGCCCCAAATTGTGCTTCGTGCTTACCTGGATGTGAAGGAGGGCCATTGTCATCCTCTTTGGGAGGAGAAACCCGGCTTCCCAGCATCAGTCTGGGTAGCATCAGGCCATGCTTCCCAACTGCCCCTACTGAGGGATGCCAGGAGGGGTGAAAGATGGACAATGGTTCTGACCAGTCCACCATGGACTGGTGCAATGTCCTAAGCTCAGCTCTTTGAGGATGGAAATGGAGGCTCCTGTCCCCATCCAACCTCCCTAAGGCTGCTGGAGTCAGCAGGCTGTGATTGCTCAGGTGCACATACCTACATAAATACAGAGGTAGGCGGTGGGGAAAGGCTGGTGGGGACAACCGGCCTCCCAAAACCTGGGAAAAGGGTGTTTCTTCCCTTTGCTCCATGCTAGATCTGGGCAGAGATAGGAAGCTGAGCTCATAAAGCTGGTCCTCAGCAGGCTAATCCTCTTTGCCTCTTAGAGACAGGGGCTTTCATGTCCAGTGAGAGGCCTCTAATAAGACCTTGTGGGGAAGGAGTCGATCCCAAGTGGTGGCAGGACCTTCTGAGTCATGGATGTGCTCGACTACTAATGAGATTGGAGGGGCTGAGTGTGTTTTGCTGGGACATTCACCCTAATGAGTTCAATGGGGATTGTGTAAGGTGTGTTCTGGCTGCAAGGAGACATCCAGGGCCTGGTTTGGTTATGAGGACTCATTGCCTCCATCCTAAGCAGGCTCAAAGGCTTTCCTGAGCCCTGTGTTGCTCTCATGTCCCACAGGCTGGTAACTTAGCATCAGCCTAAATGGATTCTTATAAAGGAGCCTAAAGTCTCACTTGATGCTGTAGAACCATGTCTATGGGATGGCTTGGCTAAAAGAAGAAACTGGGGGTCTTTGTGGTCACCTGGATGCAAAGGACAACCATTGGCATCCTCTCTGGGAGAGAAAACCTGGCTTTGCACCTCATTCCTGGGTAGCATCAGGCCATGCTTCCAAACTGCCCTTGCTAAGGGATGCAAGAGGGGGTGGAAGATGGATACTGGGTCTGGCCAGTCCTTTATGGACTGATGTAAGGGCCTGAGCTCAGCTCTAAGCCTGCCTTGCATGGACTGGAGGAATGTGGCTGCGGTTGGTCTGGGTAAGTTGACTTGTTGGGCTTTTACTTTGGTGGCAGTGCTGATCACAAGCTGGGAATGGGATGCTCAGCAAGCAGCCTGGCAGGCATCTTGCTCTGTTGGGAGGTGGTAATGACCCATCAGGGACACGCTAAGCTTCCATGTGTGCAAGGTGACATTGTCACCTCAACCCTGTGGAGATGTAGGCTCGACCTGCAGGACATAAGCTTGGTTTAGGCTGTGTTTGCTGCTTTGTCATTCGTGTCTTGCTTTGCTTTTTGGAACATGAGCGACTCAAAGATGAGTTTCCCACCTTCCTTTTTGACAGAGGGGAGACTGAGATGAGCTCTTAGGCAGAAGCTCTTCCCTGTGAGGGTGCTGAGGCTCTGGCACAGGGTGCCCAGAGAAGCTGTGGCTGCCCCATCCCTGGCAGTGTTCAAGGCCAGGTTGGACACAGGGGCTTGGAGCACCCTGCTCTAGTGGAAGGGGTCCCTGTCTGTGGCAGGGGTTGGAGCTGGGTGAGCTTTATGGTCCTTTCCAATACAAACTATTCTATGATAAGCTGCAACCCGGGCCAGTTGCTGCTGCTTTGGGATATCTCCATCTGCTGTGGCACCCATGGTACTGCTGTGTTTGAGGGCTTTGTTGGGAGCATCCCCTAATTTTCCATGGAGGAGGTGGATGCTGCTGCTCACCAACGCAGTGGTAAGTGTCTGTGCTTCTGTTGTAGATCCCAGCGCAAACCCAGGAGCGCAGGACCCGCAGCAGGACAACAGCTCTTGAAGACCAAGGCTGGAGTTGGGGTAAGGAAACTGGGGCAGGGGGACTCTTACCCCCTAAACCCAGTCCTGCATGGGGCACATCCCTTGGCACCTCCTCCTTTCACCTGGGCTTTGGGATAATCTCTCTCCATTCCCAGTGTTGAGGGAGGGGATTCTCCCCCTCTGCTCTGTTCTGGAGTCAGGCTGAGAGAGCTGGGCTGGGGCAGCCTGGAGAAGAGAAAGGGAGACCTTAGAGCAGCTCCAGTGCCTAAAGGGGCTGCAGGAAACCTGGAGAGGGGCTTGGGACAAGGGCCTGTAGGGACAGGCCAAGGGGAATGGCTTGAACCTGCCTGAGGGGAGACTGAGCTGAGCTCTTAGGCAGAAGCTCTTCCCTGTGAGGGTGCTGGCACAGGGTGCCCAGAGAAGCTGTGGCTGCCCCATCCCTGGCAGTGTTCAAGGCCAGGTTGGACACAGGGGCTTGGAGCACCCTGCTCTAGTGGAAGGGGTCCCTGCCTGTGGCAGGGGTTGGAGCTGGATGAGCTTTATGGTCCCTTCCAACCCAAACCATTCCATCTTATGGCTGCTTCCTGCAGGTCCCAAAGCCAAGTGATGGTGTTGCTGGCGAGGCTCCATCCCTCTTTGAAGAGACTTTGGAGATTGATGTGGGCCTCACTGCTATGACAGAAAGTGAGGAGAAGGAGCTGGACCTCCCTGTCCTACAGCAACAAGAGGATGCCCAAGGCCTGACAAGCAAAGAGAAGCAAAAGCAAAGGAAGCGGAAGGAAAAGGGTTTGCTGGGAGAAAGAGGGAGGAGGAAGGATAAAGTGGTGGAAAGAAAAAGAGGGAGGAAGGAGGATAAACTGGATGAAAGCCCTGGGGATGCGATGGAAAGCATCAAGGAGGAAAGTGCTGATGGGAGCAGCAGTAAGACAAGGGCACAGGGAAGAGCCAAGAAAGGGAGCAACAACAACAGCAAGAAAGAGGGTGGCATGAAGAAAAAGCAGAAGAAGGGACAAGAGGGGAAGCACAAGGAGGTTAAAAAGGTGGGAAAGATGGGGAAGAAGACAATAAAGAAGGAAAAGCTGGAAGAGGAGCAAGAGCTGGAGAAGGCAAATGAAGAGGAAGGAGCGAATGGAGTGGGAGATGAACTGGAGGAGAAAGATGGGGTGGGAAAGGGAAGTGAAGACAGGGAAGGGGTGAAGGAGGAGGAGGAGAAAGGGGATGAAGGATGTGGAGAGACACAGAGTGCAGGTATCAAGGAAGAGGTGAAGGATGAGGAGGGTGAGGAAGGGAAGGGAGATGTGCCACGGAAAAGGACGGTTAAAAAGGCAGAGGAAGAGAAGGGGGAGAAGAGTGAAGAGGAGGAAACCCCGAGGAAGAAGCCAAAGAGGGAATCTAAGGAAGAAGGAGGGGAAAAGAGCAATAAAAAGGCTAAAAAGAAGAAAGAGGAAGAAAAAGAGGCCACTGAAAAGAAGTGGAAATGGTAAGTGTCCTGTGTGCCTTGGGGCTGTGGGCAGGTCTAACCCTAATGCAATTGGGGGTTTAGCTTTATTTCTTAGGGTAAAACTTAAACTTTTTTCTTACTATATCTCAGTAACAATATATTTATATAAATAAATCTTATATAAATAAAATATTTATATATTACTATATTTTAACTTCTCTGCTGTATTTTAACCCTCTAACTCAATGCTTTTGGCAGGAGGAAGAGGGTAAGGGAACACAAGGGTCTGCATCCACAATAATACTTGTATAATAGTATGCTTTAGCCTTATAACAGTACATACAATATGTTTTCCTCCTGAAGTGGTTTTGCTGATGCCCACCCAGAGAAGGGAGATGCTCATGGCTGGTGAATGAGATGATTTACACACACCACTGTAATAAAACCACTTCTAAGACAGTGGGACCTGTAACAGGGAGGTGTAGAGAGGCTTCATTTACCTTTTTGCCTCCTTCTGCAGCAGTTTTTGGATGATCCAGGCAAGCTTTTCTGATAGGAGAGCACTGGGAAGGGGTGGATGAGTGTTGCAGATGGATGCTGTATTTGCCTTCGGAGGTGGCTGGGAGCAGCGGCTTTAGCCACATGGTGTCACTGTCACCCAGAGCACCCCAATACCTAAAGATAAAGGAGCATTTAGGGAGCTGGATGCTTTAGAACCGGTTGCAAACCCAACCTGTGGGGAGCTTTTAGGTTGTTACCCTGCTCAGGGGTGTCCATGGATGCCTGGACCTACGGGGTGGCTCTTGGGGGGCACAGGATGGCATGAAAAATGTGATTAGTTTTCTTTTCCTATATAATGACTTGTTTGGAGGGGCTGGCACAGAGGCAAGAGGCTGGTACATGGCATCGGCCCGATTTGAGGCAGTTTTACCCCGAAACACATGCAGAACTACACTTCCCATAATGCACTGCCCTGCCACATGGGAAGTGCCACAACCTGCGCTGCTCGGACACGTTGGTTCCTTCTCATAGCGATGCCCCCCGTGGTCCCATCACTACCGTGCCCGGGTGGGTAGCAGGATGCTTGGGATGACCTGAGCATCCATCCGACCGCATTGGATGACCTGTAGGTGACTGGTGCCATGTACCGGCATCTCACCTCCTTGCTGCTTGGCCGCAGGGTCCATCACCCCCAGTTCACCCCAGTTTGCCTGCGGTTGGGCTCGGGGGGCTGCGGTAGGTGAGTGAGGGTGATGCTTTTACGGGATGAGGGTTTGAATAGGTTTGGGAGGAGAAACGAAGCCATTCTGTGTCCTGCAATCACCGCTGCTGTGTCCTGCAATCACTGCTGCAGTGTCCTGCGCATCCCCTTTGTGGCTCCTGTCTCCATGATGCTTTTGGCCAAATTTTCTGTAGCTTGTTGGGTTTTCTTTTATCTTTTCCTATGCTTTCCTGGCACATTTCATTGTTCCATGCAGTCTGTGTATTCCCCCGCCGTTCCTGTTGGGGAGGAGAACGGTCAGAAACGCTTCCGGGGCGCTGCTGAGCAGGAAACGTAATCGCAGCCTTAAATAAGCTAGGAAAGACCTTTAATATCATCAAGTCCGGCCACCAACAGGGGGTGTTTCCTTCCTTGGGGTGAAATCCTTGTGTTTTCCCATAAATCCCTGTGTTTTCCCAGGGATGTTGGGGTTAAGGGGCTGGTGCGAAGCCGCAGGGTAGGGATCCTGTGCACTGGTGTCAGCAGCACTTTAACCTCTGATTATCTCTTAGTGCTATTCTGATCTTCAGGGTGGGTGTTATATACTATATATAGTACATATATATATATTTGGTATTTTAAATGCCCTTTAAAGCTTAATCTCACACCTAATGTTTGCAGTGACATTAAAATCCTGCTTGTTCTGGATGGGGGAGATGCAGGAACATCTTATTTCGTTAAGATCATGGGTATACTGTTAAATTGGTGTGTTGCTCATCTCTGGCCCATGTGCATGAACCTCTGAACCTTGTTTTTAATCTGTGTTTGGGTGCTCTTTAATAAGAAAAGGAGGCAGTGAGGGTTAGGGAGGGAAGAGAAGGTATAATTTAGTGCTTGCAGCCCCTTCTATGCAAACTAAGCAGCCGTTGTGGCTCAGCAGTGGGGTCTCTGTCTATGCCCAGGTGTTTGGTTAACTGATGCATCCCTTCACTCTCCCCATATATCCCTTTATGTGACCACACCAAGTGTGTCTCCTCCTTCAAGACCCCTTCCCCTAGGTTCTATTGCAGTCTTCCTTGTTTGAAAGAATGGGGAAACTGAGGCAGGAGCAGAGACAACAGCATTTTACCCGGGTTTTATGGCAACCGTCACTGCTCAGAGCATCTTCTCTTGAGAGAAGATCCTAGACCCCATGTTGGGATGCTCTCACAGGTCCCTGTGCACTTGTCGCAGGTGGGAAGAGGAGAAGAAAGAAGATGGGATAAAATGGATCCAGCTGGAGCACCGAGGACCCTACTTTGCCCCCCTCTATGAGCCACTGCCTGAGGATGTGCAGTTCTATTATAATGGTACGTCCACCTTCTGATGGGACCTGGGCATGTGGAGTTGGCCTCTGCCTGGCCAAAGAGCCACTGTCTTCTCTTGTATAAGGGGGGAAGTATTGCAGACCACACACTGTTATCCAGTGGAATATTTAGGCCCTTTAAAGCCGGAACCCTGGCTTAAAGCTGGAGGGATTTGCACAGAGTAGGAGTTATGGGTTTACTTGGGAGCTAATGAACCCTGATGGCTGCAGGGTGCTTCATGCATCCCAGCCCATGCAGAGCACCCCAAGCAGGGTGAGGGTTCTTATGCAGCTAATTTGACAGTGCTGTAATGCAACCGTGTGTGGATCTGGGACTTGTACCTCTGTTCCCATCCTCTCCTTGCTGCGGGACATGCAATGGGGTGGCTAGACCCCAAGCTGCCTAAGGCAACATCTTGATGCTGTTGTTTGAAATCCTTATGTACTTGCTGTGAAGATGTTTATTTCCTCCAGACCACATCTGTTTCCTCATTAAGACGCCTTTTGGGTTTGGGCTTTAAGTCAGCTCCTGATGGTTCCCCCACAAGCCAGGAAAATGGGATTTAGCTTTTGAGATGCAGTTTGCCTGTCCCATGGCCTCAGTGACTGATAATGCATCACTTGCCTACCAACGTGCTGCAGGGTTTGGCTGGGCTGCTTCAAGCTCCTGGTCCTGGTCCCTGATGTCCCCATGCATCACACTGCAGGACCTTAGTGCATCACTGAGGGGCTGAGACCAACAGGACAGGTGCTTGGTTTCTTGGTGGGCTCTTTTCTCCTTCCCTCTCTCAGCTTCATCCCTCCGCTGTTTTCTAACAAATTGAGGGGAAAAACACATAAAGGACCGAAGGACTTCAGGACTTGACCAAGGGATGCTAGAGATGGGAAGGAACCCCAGTCCCGTGGGACTTTGGTCCTCCTAAGCCCCAATGGGCTTCCTGTGCCTTGCGGGCTTTGTAGAGTAGAAAAAGGAGGAAAAAGGCCAATTTGGGAAAATTGTCTGGTAATGCTGTCACCAGAGGGCACTGCTGGGACATCGATGTGGTTGCCAGCTCTATGAAGAGGAGCCCTGGCAGCTCTGTGTGGTCCTGCACAGGGTTTGGACTTCATTCTGAGCTGTTGGAGACCCATCTGTGTGTTGTGTGCATCCAGGCTGGTGGCTTTGGCCTGGGATATTGGGTGGGGATGGGTCATTTGCTGAAAGATGTCACCATTCCTGGATGGAAAAGGCTGATTGCAGACAGGCAACAACCCAAAGTAGGAAGGCACCATGGCTGGCTGGTGTATGGAGGTTGTTGTGAGGCTCCTATAAGGCTGTGCCCCAGTGTGCACTGCAGTTCAGGTGGAGGTCAGGAACCCCAAACCCCACAGCATCTGGTGCAGGAGAGAATGGAACCACTCCCTGGAGCTCTGCAGGGGAACAAATGGGCTGCCCCATCCCTGGCAGTGCTCAAGGCCAGGTTGGACAGGGCTTGGAGCAACCTGCTCTACTGGAAGGTGTCCATGCCCATGGCAGGGGGTTGGAACTGTGTGCTCTTAAGGTCCCTTCCAACCCAAACCATTCCATGATTCTATTCTGTGATTTCCAGTCTTCTGGAGAAGATGAAGTGTGTGTTTGCAGATGGGCTGCAGCAGAATCCTGCTGAGCAAGTGCTCTGGGTGTTGATCCACAGGCAAGGCTGAAGTCTACAGCATCCCACAGGGGATGCTTGAAGTCCTGCCAATGTCCATTCTCGCCCCTCGTCCCTATTTGGGTACTGTTGAGCATGAGGGTTCATCAACCAATTGCTTGGAGCTCTGGGGTTGAGCTGTCCCCATCACTGATGCTAAAGGTCCTCTCCCTTCCCAGGCAAACCCATGAAGCTGAGCCTGGCCACGGAGGAAGTTGCCACGTTCTATGCCAAAATGCTTGATCATGAATATACAACCAAAGAGATCTTCCAGACCAACTTCTTCAATGACTGGAGGAAGGTACCTTCCCTCCTCTTCCATCTCTTCCTCCTTCTTCCATCCTCTGCATTAAACACTTAGCATTAAACCTGATGTCCCCAGGTAGATCCTAGGATACAGTGTGGGATGGAGGGGATGAGTTTTGTGGCTTATAATGGTAAGATTCTAAATGATATGGTTTATTTCCTTATGGGTTTGGACCGGGGCTTGCTGCCTGCAGCATCCTTCAGGGCTTCACACTGTGCTCCCTCTGAGGTTTAGTGATGCTGCATAAGAAAGTTATTCCTGGGACTTGCAGGTAACATCACAAATCATAGAATCATAGAATAGTTTGGGTTGGAAAGGACCTTAAGGTCATTCAGTTCCAAGCACCTGCCATGAGCAGGGACACCTCACACTAAACCGTGTCACTTAAGGCTTTGTCCAACCTGGCCTTGAACACTGCCAGGGATGGAGCATTCACAACCTCCCTGGGCAACCCATTCCAGTGCCTCACCACCCTAACAGGAAAGAACTTCTTCCTTATATCCAATCTAAACATCCCCTGTTTCAGTTTTAATGCATTACCCCTTGTCCTGTCACTACAGTCCCTGATGAAGAGTCCATCCCCAGCATCCCTATGTTCCTCTAAAGGATTATCCTCATGGTCCCACAGCTCAGTCCCTAAATAAAAGCAAGACCTTACTAGGGCCAGTTTATGTCCCCAGACACCTTTGGTGCTGCTTGCTGTCATGCTTAGGGACCACTTGTGTCCACAACAGAGGTTAGAGGTTGCTGCACTCCAGACCTGGCTGTGTTCTGCTGCTCTGGGTGCAAGCTCAGGTGTCCACATGCAGCCTGCCCTCCTGCCATGGCCTCTGTGTGCCCTTGGGTGGATGTGGTGGGATAGATGGGATAGCTGCTTCCTGCTGGTTTTCCTGAGGAACTGGCATGTTCTGACAACCCAGAGGTAACCTGTGTCCTGGGCTGCATCAAAAGCTGGTCAAAGGAGGTGATCCTGCCCCTCTACTCTGCTCTCATGAGACCCCACTTGCAGCAATGTGTGCAGTTCTGGTGTCCTCAGCATAAGAAGGACATGGAGCTGTTGGAACAAGTCCAGAGGCGGCCATGAGGATGAGCAGGGCTGGAGCACCTCCTGTATGGAGCCAGGCTGAGAACACTGGGGCTGTTCAGCCTGGAGAAGAGAAGCTGCGTGGAGACCTCAGAGCAGCTTCCAGTGTCTGAAGGGGGCTACAAGGATGCTGGAGAGGGACTCTTCATCAGGGACTGCAGTGATAGGACAAGGGGTGATGGGTTCAGACTGAAACAGGGGAAGTTCAGGTTGGAGACAAGGAAGAAGCTCTTCCCTGTGAGGGTGCTGAGGCGCTGGCACAGGGTGCCCAGAGAACCTGTGGCTGCCCCATCCCTGGCAGTGTTCAAGGCCAGGTTGGACACAGGGGCTTGGAGCACCCTGCTCTAGTGGAAGGTGGCCCTAGCCATAGCACGGGGTTGGAACTGAATGATCTTAAGGTCCTTTCCAACCCAAACCATTCGATGTAGGTCTCCTTTCTTGTCTGTGAAGGAGACTCATAGGCAGCAGCTCTGTGTGGAGTCCGTTTTACCCATCCCCTCTCACCTCTTGCTCAGGAGATGACCTCAGCGGAGCGGAAGGTAATCAAGGACCTGGACAAGTGCGACTTCAGTGCGATCCACAAGTACTTTGTGGACAAAAATGAGGCACGTAAAGCGCTCCCCAAAGAGGAGAAGCAGGTGAGGACTGTTTCCTATGGTGTCTGGGACTGGCTGATATGGGTTGGGACCAGTCTGGGGTATCTTGGCTCCTGCTGCTCTCCTTTCTTTGTGTTATGCCCTGTCCTGTTTGCCCTTTGGAATCTCTCTGTCCCCATGACCATCACCCTCCTCTTCATTAAATTGCATCTGTAGATCCTGCATGTTCCATAGTTTTGCTGGGTACTCGTCGTCCTTGGACCGTGGTTTGGGGTTCTGCTTGATCTAGAGATGGTGAAACTTGCTAGGGGGGTGGTGGCACACAGGCTTGTTCCATCAGCATATTGCACTGGGAAAGCATCATTGTGAGGGTTTGTGAAGTAGGTGGAGGTGAGCTGTGCTTGGGGATTGGATTTGGACCCATGTTTCCTCTAACCCTTTTAGCTCTCTAGCCTTTGAGTATCTCTAGAGATGCTGATAGGTAGTTGCAAGTTATGGGGTTTCGGTGTCATCCCATGGGGTGGTTGTGGTGTGATGCTCATTGCAGAAACTGAAGGAGGAGGCGGATAAGATCCAGGAGGAATACGGGTATTGCATCCTCGATGGGCACCGGGAGAAGATAGGCAACTTCAAAACTGAGCCACCAGGGCTCTTCCGTGGCCGTGGTGACCACCCCAAGATGGGGATGCTGAAGAAGAGGATCATGCCAGAAGATGTTATCATCAACTGCAGCAAGTAAGTTGCCATGGGAAGAGCCGTGGGGCTGCTTTTGGGACTGGGGTGAGCACCACACCTCTATCTACGGCTTCTGTGGGGTTTTGGTATCTCCTACAATCACTCCTTTGCACACCCTGAGGTCTGAACTTGCTGGTCGGATAGTGGTCGGATAGTGGTCGATAGTGGTGGGATAGTGGTAGATAGTGGCGTTTTATCTCCTCCACGGGTGTGCTTTGCAATTAGGTCTGACTTTTTGTTTCTTTATCAGTGTACAGTGGGCAGGAAGCTGCTAGGGCAGCTCCCTTCTCACTGATGCCCACACTGTTCACCCAACGTTAACTGCAAGCACTGCAGTGCTCCTGTGGTCTCTCTGAAGAAGAGATAACTGCGTATTCCTTCTGTCCTCCTCTCCCAAATGAAGTACATCAGGAATGGCTTTCCTCCTAAACAAGAGTCCCTTTTGCTGGCTGGAAGCATCATGATACTCACTGGAGGGAGGGAAAGCAGTGATTGAATTAAGAGGGTTTGCCCTCTAAGTTACTTGAGTTGGATTGGTCTTAAACCACCCATATGAAGGCATTGTGACCTTGATTTAAAACACCTCCCCACCAGCCCAGCAAGTCCTTCTGTCTTCCTCAGCATCCAAATGATAAAGACCTGATCATAGAATGGTTTGGGTTGGAAAGGACCTCAAGATCATCCAGTTCATGTTGTGGAGCAGTTCTGGTTGGGCTGTGTATTTACTGTAAGCAGTACTACAAAGTCTTGATCATCCTTGGCTGACTGTGAAGAAAGGGTTGAGCTGATGACCTGTTTCTTCATGGTCTGAGGGCTGTAACCCTGCTCTGCCCACAGGGACTCCAAGATCCCTGAGCCCCCACAAGGACACAAGTGGAAGGAGGTGCGCTGCGATAACACCGTTACCTGGCTGGCCTCGTGGACAGAGAACATCCAGCACACATTGAAGTACATCATGCTGAACCCCAGCTCCAAGCTGAAGGTTGGAGGGGTGCTGCTGTTCAGGCAGAGCTGGTGCCTTTTGGACCACTGGCTTTTAGTCATGTGGAAAGATCAGGGCAAAGCAGAGATGTGGCTGCCACGTCACCAAAAATTTACTTTTCCACCCCAAAAAGGGCTAAGCTAAACTGGTGTGCCATTGGGTGATGGAAAAGGGCAGAGATGACTGTTAAGCATCAGTCCTATTGAGTGAACTGGTTTGCTACTTGCGGAGCCATCCCTGTGCCATACTGCTTGTGTGTCCAGGGAAGGCTGTTGAAGGCCGGACAGGGGCTGAGAAGACCAGAGTCTATGGGGTGGAATTCATTTATGCTATTAAATGGATGGTAGGGGAGGTGGGATCAATCTAGGGCTATGGAAGGGAGTGAATGCTTTTCTGGGGAGGGAAAGGTGATTTAAAGCTATTTCCAATCTTCAAAGCAATCAAGGACACTGCATGGAAGCTGGGCACAACTGAAGTGCTTTGTGTCAGTCCATGGTGGTATCCAAGCAGCAGCGGTCATGGCCATGCAGTGCTTGACCATTTGGCTCTGTGCTAGCTGATGGAGGACACCAGACTATGAGCAACTCAGACTTGTCCAGGATCCCAAACCCAACCAGTCAGCAGAGGGCACAGGAACCCAATGGGAGCTGTTTCTGCTCTGATTTTGCCACTTCATGAGTCTTAAGAACACAATGGGGTTTGGGCAGTATTTAGGTTTTGGAGGTGCTTGCAGAACAGGGCTTGACTGGTTGGGGTGGAAGGAAGATGGGGCACTGGTGATGAAGTCTCTGATTGTGTTTCCAGGGACAGAAGGACTGGGAGAAGTATGAGGTAGCTCGACGCTTAAAGGATGTCGTCCACAAGATCCGTGCCCAGTACCGGCTCGATTGGAAGTCCAAGGAGATGAAGGAGCGGCAAAGAGCAGTGGCCCTGTACTTCATCGATAAGGTATCCATGGTCTCATCTGGCTTCCAGGTCCCCATTGCTGCAGTCCCTGATGAATCATAGAATCATAGAATAGTTAGGGTTGGAAAGGACCTTAAGATCATCAAGTTCCAACCCCTCTGCCATTGGCAGGGACACCTCGCTCTAAACCATATCACCCAAGGCCTCATCCAACCTGGCCTTGAACACTGCCAGGGATGAAGCATTCACAACCTCCCTGGACAACCCATTCCAGTGCCTCACCACCCTAACAGGAAAGAATTTCCTCCTTAGATCCAATCTAAACTTCCCCTGTTTAAGTTTTAACCCATTACCCCTTGTCCTGTCACTGCACTCCCTAATGAAGAGTCCATCCCCAGCATCCCTATATGCCCCCTTCAGATACTGGAAAGCTGCTATGAGGTCTCATGATGATGAAGAGTCCCTCTCCAGCATCCTTGTAGCCCCCTTCAGACACTGGAAGCTGCTCTGAGGTCTCCATGCAGCTTCTCTTTTCCAGCCCCACATAACCTCGGAAAGGGGAATTGGGGTGGGCTGGGATGGGTAACTTGTGATCTCCTTCCAGTTGGCCCTGCGAGCTGGCAATGAGAAGGAGGAAGGTGAGACCGCAGACACAGTTGGCTGCTGCTCCCTGCGTGTGGAGCACATCAGGCTGCACCCTGAGCTGGATGGGCAGAAGCACGTGGTGGAGTTTGACTTCCTTGGGAAAGACTCCATCCGTTACTACAACAAAGTGTCCGTGGAGGAGCCGGTGAGTGGGGCAGAAATGGAGGCGGTGACAACATCACAGCTTGGTGCAGTGTTAGATGGGTGGCTCAGTTCATTCAGTGGTCACCAATCCCAAATTTGCATTGAAACCTCTTGCAAAGATGCCTCCTGGCCTTTAACACCATGGTGGCAGCATGTGCTTGAGATGCAACAGGGGTGGATGATGCCACCCTGTCCTGAAGATGAGGACACGCAGTTGTTAACCCTGTCCTGGACAAACATTGGGGTAGGGCTTTCAAGGTGCTGAAGGTTTCTAGCCCATAAACCACCAGAGAAGTCCTGTCTCCTGCTGGAGCATCCTCAGTTGACTGGTGGGCATTAGGACTTGAACTGTCCTCATTGGTATCTTATCCTTTGCTTTGCCCATGGGGTAGATGACTTTAGTGGTGTTTGTGGGGAAAATGGAGTGCCAAGGATAGCAGAGATGGGGGAAAACAGCCTGTGAAAGCAGTGACTTTGGGGTCCCTTGAAGCTGGGAAGGTTGGAGGTGTGGTAGGATGTGTATTGTGAGTCTGAATCAGGGACTGTCCGGATGAGGACACTGATGGAGATGAGATGTCTGGGAGTAGTTTGCTCTTGTCCCTGACCAAAGCCATCCTTTCCTCTTCTTTTAGGTGTTCAAGAACCTGAAGCTGTTTATGAAGAACAAGGGCCCTGCAGATGACCTCTTTGACAGGCTCAAAGTGAGTTGGTGCATAGAATCATAGAATAGTTGGGGTTGGAAGCTTTTAAAGCAGCACTGGTGACACAGAGGGAGTAGAAACAAACCCATGACACCCTTGTCCAGCCTGCGGGCTTCCAGGCTGTGGTGTTGCATCACTGGCACCCCTTACTCTGGTTTTCACTATCTCCCCTCCAGGGGCATTACTGTAACTGTTGGCACAGGCTGTTGGGATGCTGTGATATCGTTCTCCATCCTCCTTCTGCACTGGTAGCATCTCTGGTTCTCTGAATGCCGGCTCTGCTGCTTCCTGCACCCACGAGTTACCTGTGTCCCTGCTGAGGAGGTGGCTTTCTGCTCCTTCCCTCCTCTAACTCATCTGCTTGGCCTCTATTTTTAGCCTGGGAACACTTGCCCACACACACGCTGCTTGGGGCATTGCCGGAGGTGTCAAACCTCAGCTCTTTGCTTTCACACCTCGCTGGGGCTCAGCAGAAGTGTGAGAGGCTGCAGGAGCACAGGGATGCTGGGGAGAGATGCTGCAGCCTTCCTGCACAAGCTGCTCCCCTCCAAAACTCTCCTTCCTCCTCTTCCTCAGTATGGGAAATAGGAAGCTGCCACCCATCACTCTGCTTGCATCACCTACAAAGCCACTTGCCTGCTCTTGTCTGGTTATGTAGCATTTATCTGGGACAGGCTTTCTTGATACAGATAAAGCATAATCCAAACCACAGATAACTTCTTAGCATCTCCTGTTTCCAGTCCTAATGCAGCCCCATGTGCTCCATAGAACAGAGATCAGATATGATGTATGTCAGATGTGAGATGTGTCCTTTTGGACATGGATGAGCAGAAATGGTTGACTGTACTCTGGTGAGACCCCACTTGCAGCACTGTGTGCAGTTCTGGTGTCCTCAATATCAGAAGGACATGGAACTTTTGCAGCAGGTCCAGAGGAGGCCACAAGGATGATCAGGGACTGGAGCATCTCCCATATGGAGCCGGGCTGAGAACACTGGGGTTGTTCAGCCTGGAGAAGAGAAGCTGCATGGAGACCTCAGAACAGCTTCCAGTGTCTGAAGGGCCTGAAGGGCCTGTCACAACTTCTGCTTGTTCTCTTCCTTCCTTTCCCCCTCACTGTCTTGTTTTCCTCCCTCCAGACGTCCATCCTGAACAAACACCTCCAGAATCTGATGGATGGTTTGACTGCCAAAGTGTTCAGGACCTACAACGCCTCCATCACCCTGCAGGAGCAGCTCAAGGCCCTTACTAATTGTGAGTTACTAACAGTGTGTGTGGTATCACCAGCTGCTTTGTGTGACCAGCAGGGTCAGCCATGTCTATCCATCCCTTTGGGTCCCTAGGTCTTCTCCTTGGTAGGTGATGCACCATGTTGTAGGGTCCATTGTAAAAACTTAAGGGAGCATACAGAAGGTTGGCAACTGTGCTAAGTGAGAAATAGCTACTTTCTCTGACTAATAGTCATGATGGGAGTCATGGAGGGTCATGATAGTCGTGATGGGAGTCATGGAGGGTCATGATAGTCATGATGGGGGTCATGATGGGGGTCACAGAGGGTCATGATGGGGGTCACGGAGGATTGTGCTAGTCATGATCCTTCTCCCTTTCCTTGCATTGCTGGTTGGTGGCATTATCTTTGCCTGCCTTGGATACTGTGCTTCGTCACTCGTACATCACTCAGTGATGCTCAAGTGTCATCCATCAGTTTCCACAGCCAGTATTTTTCTCCCTTGGGAAAGGCAACCAACTTGCTGTTGGTTTGTTCCCTGCCTTCCCTAACTTCCCAACTATATCCCAGAGACATAGTAATGCTTCCGTTTCTTTCCAGCTGAAGACAGTGTTGCAGAAAAGCTCCTCGCCTACAACCGAGCTAACCGAGCGGTGGCCATCCTGTGCAACCATCAGAGGTCTACACCAAAAACCCATGAGAAATCAATGCAAATCCTCCGGACCAAGGTGAGACAGACCAGACAAGAGCCCCAGACATGATCTTGCCTCTAATGTGTTCTATTTTGGGGTTTAGAGGAGGTAGAGGATAGAGAGAGGGAGGGAGAATAACCTGATGCCTGAAGAGATCACATTGATCAAGCGTGACAGAGGATGAACCAGGAATAGAGGCCTTTTTAATCAGTGCAGAGGTAGCAGCAGCCCAGGGTAGAGGTAAGGGGTAAGTAGGGTAAGCTCAAGTGCTGGACAAAGCAGCTTGGGACAGGGTTTGGGTGGTTTTTCATAGAATCATAGAATGGGTTTGGGTTGGAAGGGACCTTAAAGCTTACCCAGTCCCAGCCCCTGCCACAGGCAGGGACACCTTCCACTAGAGCAGCTTGCTCCAAGCCCCTGTGTCCAACCTGGCCTTGAACACTGCCAGGGATGGGGCAGCCACAGCTTCTCTGGGCACCCTGTGCCAGCGCCTCAGCACCCTCACAGGGAAGAGCTTCTGCCTTATCTCCAACCTGAACTTCCCCTGTTTCAGTTTAAACCCATCACCTCTTTTCCTGTCCCTGTTTTGCAAGATGCTAAGAAATGCTTAAGCTCCAGCAACTGCTGCAGGATTGAGTTGTTGGGGATAGGGTAGGGCTCATAAGTGAGGAGTTGTGTGTCAAATGAAAGGAGAAGAGGGGGAGAAGACCATGGCCTGACTTTGTGTTTACCTGCACAGATCGATGCCAAGAAACAAAAAGTGGAGGAAGCTCAAGAAGAGCTGAAGAAAGCTGAAGACGAGTTCAATGACACAAAAGATGCCAAAGCAGAAGCGTGAGTGACTCTTCCTTACAGCCCTCTTGTGCAGAGGGATCTCAGTTCAGATGGTGTGGTCATACACCTGATGTGCAGCTCATAACAGAAGTACCCATACTGAGTACCTCTTATCCCATGGTAGCCTGGTAGATGGGTCAAGGTCTTGTGGAGGGTTCCTTGCAAAGTAGGATTGTAAAGAGATTCTCCAAGGAGAATTCCTTTGTGATAGGGTAACCTCACTGAATACTGTGACTTCAACCCAAGTTAGTGGCTTGGGGTTATCCTACAAATGCCATGGTGAATGAGATTGGAGCTGGGGATATGCAGACTGGCCTTTATGCATGTTTTCTTGAGGGATGCTGGAGTGGTGAATTGTAGCCTGATCTCTGCAGTAATCACAGAATCACAGAATGGTTTGGGTTGGAAGTGACCTTAAGATCATCCAGTTCCAGCCCCCTGCCATGGGCAGGGACACCTCACACTAGCCCATGTCACCCAAGGCTCTGTCCAATCTGGCCTTGAGTGCTGCAGGGATGGAGCATTCACCACTTCTTTGGGTTATTGCATGGGGTCTGTCCAGATTTGCTCCCAACCTTCCAAAACCCAACTGTGACTTAATTCCTAAAGACAGAATGAGGCTGGAGGAGAGAAACAAGGCTTGTATATTAACTTCTCCTATTGGGGTTTCTTGTTTCCCTGTGTTAGTGAGATGCAGAGCAGGTTATCAGAGGCAACTCTTGCTCATGGAGCCTGGATTTGAGGGAGAGGACCTTTGCATGCTGGTCTTTGTGCTTGCCCAGTCTTGATTGTGATAACCTTTATTAAAGTGTCTTGCCAGGTAAAAGTACTTGAGAAATAGATTAGTTTGAATGGCATCTTTAACTGCCATCCTGGAGTGTTTCTATGTTCGGGCCTTACAGGACATAATGTCAATGTAGAGACTAAACTGAAGCTCATTGGCTTCCCATCAAGTGTTCACACAGCACCAGACCAGGAGAACTCTGTATTTCACCTCTGTTTCTTTTCCCCTTTACCACACTGTCTGTGCTGTTCTTCCTTTGCCCTCAGCAATGTGGCGAAGAAGAAGAAGAAGTTGAAGCAGCTGGAAGAGCAGCTCGCCAAGTTGAATGTCCAGGCCACAGATAAAGAGGAGAACAAGCAGATAGCTCTGGGCACATCCAAGCTGAATTACCTGGACCCCAGGATTAGTATAGCTTGGTAAGCGTTGGGCATCCCATGGGGTAAATGTTCCTTCAGGGATGTGCAGATAGAATCATGGAATGATTTGGGTTGGGAAGGACCTTAAGATAGTACAGTTCCAACCCCCTGCCACGGGCAGGGATGCCTCACACTAGACCATGCCACCAAGGCTGTGTCCAACCTACCTTGACACTGCCAGGGATAGAGCATTCCAAAGCTAAGGCTTCCCTTGCTGCAAATAACTGGTTGCAGGATGTTCCTTTTGGGTTTAGGGCAAGAAGAGGTCCCTTTTCATGTCTTCATTGGCATTGACACAAAGCTAATTCCTTGAGGAGCTTGGGGCTGAAGAAATTTGGGTCAAAGATGCAGCACCCTGAGACGAGGACCATTGTGGTGGGAGCAGGGTGGGATAGGGGCAGAACATTCCAACTGATGCATTTGGGTTCAAACTGAAACAGGGGAAGTTCAGGTTGGAGGTAAGGAAGAAGTTCTTTACTGTGAGGGTGCTGAGGCACTGGCACAGCGTGAACCAGAGAATTTGTGAATGCTCCATCCCTGTCAGTGTTCAAGGCCAGGTTGGACAGAGCCTTGGGTGACATGGGCTAGTGTGAGGTGTCCCTGCCCATGGCAGAGGTTGGAACTGGATGATCTTAAGGTCCTTTCCAACCCAAACCAGTCTATGATTCCATGTTTTGTATAGGTGTAAGAAGTTTGGTGTGCCCATTGAGAAGATCTACAACAAGACACAGAGGGAAAAGTTTGCCTGGGCGATCGACATGACCACTGAGGACTTTGAATTCTGAGATGATGCCCTTCCTGTTACCTCATGCTCATTCGGTGCTATTGGAAAGCTGGTTTTGTATGTTCTGCACAGTCATTGCAGGCAGTGGGGCTGGGGTTTGCCTAATGAAGGAGTTTGATATGGGTATTTTGTGTGTTTCTTTGGACACAAAAGCAAACGCCAGGTTTCTGGTTGAACCAGGTATTGCTGCATTGTGACACTCATCCCGCCTGCACTGACTTTGATGTGAACTTTTAATCCCTCTTCAGAGTTGCCAAGTGCTTTGGATCTTTTCTTTCCTTCCTCCAGAGTATGAGAAGAAGATTGAATGAGAGCTTTAATTGTGCTGATAAACAAGATCCGATCTAATCCTATCTCCTTGATGTAGTGGAGCTGTGCTGCCCTTTTCAGACTCTGAACCAGTTCAGTGGGGGAACACAGGGCAACGACAGCACCAAGTACAAGAGCTGGGCTTGGGTCAGGGATGCAGTGGGAGGAAGTGAGGAAGGGTTTTACATGTGAGGGTGGTTTGTGCCTTTTCTCCTCCAGGAGAAAATGGTGCCATTGCACAAACAGAGTTAAAAGGGAAAAATGCTGTGGGAGGGAGTGAATATCATGGGAGGAGGAAGAGGGAGGGGAAGATGCTGGATTAAGAAGCAGGTTTCACGTTGGAGGGATGAAATGCACCTTGACACAAGTGCTCTTTAACCACCTCTGTGTAGTTCAGCCTTGGTCTGGGAGAAGATACTGCATTTGAGGCTATTCTTTGCCCTACATGCTTCAGGATGCTCTGGTTCAGCCCATTGCATCCATAGCAGAAACTAAGTTGTCCTTCTACAATGAGGAAAAAATGATGCTGGCTGTGGGGCTGGACCGAGCTCTGATGGGATGTGCTTGGAGGGTGGTACCAATGTGCTGGTGATGAGAGCTTTGTCATCAGGCTGCATCCTCCCCATGGACATGGAGCAGGCAGGGTCTGATACACAAACTGCTGGTTCTTGCTGCCTAATTGGCTGCCTTTCAAGTGGAAAGCAATAAGGGATATCAGCAGGTACCTGGCAGTAGTGAGCCTGCACGCCAGTGAATCCCAGGTTAAGCAAGCTGCTGCATTGGCAGCACAGCCTTCTGTGGCGTCTCAGGGTTGATGCTCAGGTCACTCTAATCCAAAGCTCTTGGTGCTTCCCATGTGCTCATTTACAGCCTCGTGTTCTTGGGTTTCAACTCCTGCTGGTTTGGTTGGAAGTCAGGTCCTGGAAATGCATTTCATTCAAACTGGAAGTGTTGCTTTCTTTCCCTGGGTATCAGTGAGTGGAGGCTTTGTGCAGCTCAGCCAAGACGTGGCTCTGCTCTGAGCTGATGTGCAGAGATCCGAGCCAGCCTCTCTATTGCGGTCTGTGTGCTCAGTTGTCTACAGAGGATGAGGCTTGATAGGAAATCCTTTGTCCTTGAGCAAAGAGCTTGCTTGCAGGTCTCAAACCCCAGTTGTGCCTCGTCCCTGAGGGCCCATGCACAGAACTGAGCTACCAGAATTGAGCTGCTGCATGATAGCAGAGTGACAAACACAAGGGGTTATGCAGGGGTGAAGCCAATGCTGTCCTGACATCTGCACCAGGATGTGTTCCTCTGCTTGGCTGAGAGGCGACAGCTTGTGACACTCTTAACTGGACTTAACATGATTCTATAACTGTCTCTCCAAGCCCCAAGAGCTCATGCAGGCAACAGACTCCTGAATTAGGGATCTAAATCAATCTGAACGGTGGCAAGATCTGTTTCTGGCAAAGGTAGACTAGTTACCAGCTGCACAAGCAACAGGCAGGAGGTGCCAAGGATGCCTTGACCCGTGTTGGATGTAACAGAGGTAACCAGTGTGGTCCAAATGGATGGAGATGGTTTTCTGCCCAGCCTGTTTGAATGCCTTCTGGCCTTCAGAAAGAGGTTAAAGTGAGTATTTTGCCACAAACTGTGGTAGGAAGTTTGTTGCATTCCAAATAAGGGAGGAATTGTAGCCAAGACCCTAATGAAACAGTCCTCTTTACTAGTAGCAGGAAAAAGGAGTCAGATGCAATTGGATGACCACTGTAGGTGTTTGTATTAAACCGTAGGAAAGGGAAATGAGTAACTTGGTCCTTGGCCTCTCCTCCAGCAGGTTCCCATCAGTGCTGTGATCCTCTGCTGAGTTAATGGGGTGGAAAAGCTGGGTAATTGCCATACCACATAGCCCTGTTCCTCCTCACCCTGTTATTGATGGGGCAGTGGATCCACAAAAGGGGTGCATGCAGTGCTTCAAGCTTTCTGGTGTCCTTGGCATAAGAAGGACATGGAGCTGTTGGAGCAAGCCCAGAGGAGGCCATGAGGATGAGCAGGGGCTGGAGCACCTCCTGTATGGAGCCAGGCTGAGAACACTGGGGCTGTTCAGCCTGGAGAAGAGAAGCTGCTTGGAGACCTCAGAGCAGCTTCCAGTGTCTGAAGAGGCTACAAGGATGCTGGAGAGGGACTCTTCATCAGGGACTGCAGTGACAGGACAAGGGGTGATGGGTTCAGACTGAAACGGGAAGTTCAGGTTGGAGATAAGGAAGAAGTTCTTTACTGGGAGGGTGGTGAGGTGCTGGAATGGGTTGCCCAGAGAAGTGGTGAATGCTCCATCCCTGGCAGTGTTCAAGGCCAGGTTGGACACAGGGGCTTGGAGCACCCTGCTCCAGTGGAAGGTGTCCCTGCCTGTGGCAGGGGGGTAGAATGGCTGTGCTTCCCTCCACATCTCCTTTATCTGTATCAAAGCATCTTGCTTCCCTCCAAGAGGCCATGCTTGGAGCAAAATTGAGGTGGTTCAATTCCAGTGAGAGCTCAGCTAAGGAGCCTTGTGTTTGCCTCTTGTTCTGCAGCAGACAAGGAGGTCCAGGCTGGCAGATGGGCTCTGTGCAGTACTGTAGGGCTGCTTGGCCATGCTTGGATGCTCTGGATGTCAGGGCTGCAAACACCTGCCAGTGTCAGCAGAACACTAATTGTTGGTTGTTCATTAGGAGCTTAAATGAAGTGTCTTTTCCCCAGAAGGGTGTCACCCTGGCTTGTATTTCCCTATGGGGCTTGATCACTTCTGTCAGAGAGCTCAGTGGCATCAAGATTGAAGCCTAAATGCATGGGAGGTATGAAGTAAAACAAGGTGGAGAGTTCATGTGTGTGCCAGATATCAGAGCTCATGCTGGGGTGAGTAACAATGTGCTTGGAACAACTAAGCTTGAGGCTGATAAGTCTGGGCAGTGTCCTCCTGGCCCTTTGCCATAAGCTAATGAGATACAGGTTGGAGAGGTTGAGCTGCTCATCCTTGATACCAGTGGCGCAAAGCAGCAGTATCCTGGTGCCACATCTGACATGGGTTTTGCACTGCTCAAGGCCTTGAAGAGCATCCCCCCCCACATCAGACACCTTTGAGGGTAGGATTCCTCTCCAAGCCCAACAGTTTGGGCTTATTCAGTGACTCAAGCAACTGATAGTGCCTAAAGGGGGCTACAAGGATGCTGCAGAGGGACTCTTCATCAGCGACTGTAGTGATAGGACAAGGGGTGATGGATTCAGACTGAAACAGGGGAAGTTCAGGTTAGAGATAAGGAAGAAGTTCTCTACTGTGAGGGTACTGAGGTGCTGGCACAGGGTGCCCAAAGAAGCTGTGGCTGCCCCATCCCTGGCAGTGTTCAAGGCCAGGTTGGACAGAGCCTTCGGTGCCATGGTCTAGTGTGAGGTGTCCCTGCCCATGAGAGGGAGTTGGAACTGGATGACCTTAAGGTCTTTTCTAACCCAAACCATTCCATGATTCTGATGAGCCCTGTCTGCCTTGGCTCTTCCAGTGCTGTTTTCAGCTTGGCTTCTCTAAAGAAGGGCTTTCTATAGGCATGGAAAAGCCTCTGCCTTGACGCTTAAGACACTTGGTAGCCCAAAGTCAAGATACTACCATATCTGCCAGTATTTGACTGGTGAAATAAGTCAAAAATTGAGCTTTTTTTTTTTTTTCCTTTGCAATTGCTTCCTTCTCTTTTCAGTTTAAAGCGATCCAAAAAGGGAAGATCTGGTTTCAGGCAAAACCAGAAGTGGGACCTTCCCCTGCAACTCCTTGGGTTGCTAATGTGCTTTTCATAGATGCCTGTTGTTCATATTGGCTGGGAGGAGACCTCAAGATGAATTTACCACAAACAGAGCTGACTGCTTATGCTGGGGTGGGCTTAGGGCTGCTCTAGTTACACAATGATGCT